AACACATGGCTGCGTGCACTGCACCCCTGGGAGCTCTGTCCCCATCACCAGGAGCCTGGCAGCTGTGACCAACCAGTGTGAGAACTCACACCACGCTGGCCGCCCTGAGTAGACCTCAGAAGCTGATGGTGAAGCCTCTTTCAGGCTTCTACTTGAAGTCATCTTGCCGGCCTCTCCGCGCCCGTGGGCATGGGGTTTTTCCTGCTTTGGCCGCCCCTGCAGAGGAGCAGAGGAGTCAGAGCTGGAGGTGGGTCCATTTCTGCTCCCCAGCTGTGTGATCCACCCTCTCTGGGCTTTAGTTTTCCCGGTTGTGAAGTGAGGGGCTGGTCCAGCCCGCCTCTAAGCTGCTGGGCCCCCCAAGGTCTCCTCCTCCCGCTGGTGACTTCAGGCATCAGCTGCCTGTTGCTAGCTAACAAATGACCTCAAAGGGAGCTGCTCACACAGCCCATGTTTGCTGCCACACTGTTTCCGTGTGGGTGATCAGGAATCTGCAGCTGGGCGCGTGTCACGTCCCCCCCAGGGCTGGGGTCCCGTCCGAGGGCTGCGGGAGAGGGTCTGCTCCCAAGCCCACAGGTGAGGCTGTGGCAGGCTGGAGCTGGACCGAGGGCCTGGGCTCCTGGGCTGTTGGCCAGAGGCCGCCCTCAGTTCCCGGCCACACGGGCCTCTGCAGTGCAGTAACTCGCTTCATCAAAGCCGGCGAGACAGATGCCGGACCTCCTAGTCTGATCACGGATGCCCCTTAGCACTGAGGAACCCTGTTGGTTAGAGGCCTTTTACCCAGGGAAGGGCGTCACGCAGGCAGTGGAGACCAGGGTGCCACTGCCCCGGGCTCTCCTGCCACCGTGTGCTCGTGGGTTGATTGTCACAAGCTCTGCCTTCTCCGTGCTGTCCCTCAGCTCAGGGACCCGAGTGCTGATTCCTCTGCCACCCTCCCGTTCGGTTCATCGCCTCTCGGCGTGCACCCCATCCAGGCAGGGTTTCCCGTCGCTTCCCAGCTCAAGTTCTTTTGGCCTTAAAAGCCCAACTTGAGTCCCAGAAGTTGCCCAGCTGCCTCAGTTCTGCTTTCTGGAATCTCTGTTAACCTGCAGCGTTGTCTTGTACCCTGGCCTTGCCACATGTTGGCTGGTATTGTTATTGTACAAGTATTTAATCTCTGCCTCAGTTTCCTTGTCTGTAAAGTGGAGATGTAATGTGTGTAGCGCATGACCACGGTGACTGAGCTGGGATGTGAGCGTGCGGCCGTGGTGACCAGGCTGGTGGTGCTGCTGCCTAAGTGAAGTGCCCCTGTGGTTGGGTGCATGTGTGTCTGCAGCTGGCGGTGGGTGTGAGGCACGCCGGCCACATCTGCCCGTCTCCCTCGCCCCGTCCCTGTCCCACGGCATCAGTGCCACGGGGGCCACTTAGGATCCTGTGGCTGCATAGCTGCCGCTGGTTGGCTTGTGGGTTAATGAACTAACTAACTGGGTTCAGAAATCTGGACTAATCATAAGCTGGAGCCCAGAATCCCGTTTTCTTTTCCATGTGGGCTTTAGAAACAGACAGGGCTGCTTAGTCTTGCCTACCTAACCCCCCCCAAGCAGTCCCCATGGGGCCAGACGTGGCTGTGAATGCAGAGCGCGCGGGGCCGGCGTGCTTCTGCCGAGGCTTCAGCTGCTGCTGCTCTGCGCGGGGCTGCGATCTGCCCGCCCTCTGGCTTCGGGGTGCTGCCCGCAGCCCCTCTGAGAATTCACTCCGCTGGACTTACATCACCTGCCTCCTGAAGATGTGACCTGGCGTTTTTATCTTTCTGAAGAATTTGACAGTGAATCAATTTGTGTAATAGAAAATTAATTAGAACACTGAATGTTGATTAGAAAATATTTCCAACCCTTTTGTATGCCTGCTTATTTATCTTAATTAACTAGGTTTTCAGAAAACTGAAATAGCACCTGTAAAAAATTGTTTGACTAGTTTTTCTTCATAAAAATGATATCACAAAAATACTTTTTAGTTCACATTGTTGTGTGGGGGTTAAAACAGAGAACCCAAAAGCTGAAGCTGACAGTGGCCTGACCATGTCCCCAGTGACGTGGGTTTCGGAGCCATTTGCAGCGAGTGAGGCGCTGTTGCTCCTGTTCTTCCTCTTGGGGGAGCTGTGCCCCACCTTTGCTGTTGGGAAGGTTTCCTTGGCCTCCTCCCACGTGGGCCTTCACCTGTCATTCCTGGTGGCCTAGCATCTGGGTCCCCGTCGCCAAGTTCCCACCGCCATTTCCTCCTCCTCTGTGGCTTCGTGGTGGCGACCGAGTGGTGGCCCCCTTCCCTGCGTCGTCCCCTGAGTTCTGTGCAGCGACCAAGCCTTCCTCCGCGGAGTGGCCTGGGTTCAGGTTCTCTGTGGTCACCGCGCTGCATGCCCCCCACGTGCCGACAGACAATAATCACACCCTGTACCTGCCCTGAATTTCTTAGGCTGCAAAGATAGCGAAATAGGGCAGAGGCCCTCCACCCCCCGCCTTGGCGCTGAGCCTCCCCTCCCTACTGCCCCACCCCCACAGCCCCTGTTGTTTATCACCCCCCCTTGGCTGCTCCTGGCAGGTCCTGGTGGGCGTCTGACCTGGTGGTTGACACCCTCCAGGAAGTTTGGGGTTTATCTGAGGGTCCACTTGGTCTTCCGTGGCTGCCTGCTCAGGGGTGTCAAGTGGGTGCTCTGGGCACACGGCCTCACCCACAGGTGGCTGTGAAGATGCCATGTGGAGGGTAACAGGGCAAGGTGAGGAGCCTGGTCCCTGGAGCGTGTTGCTCCTGGGGGGCCCCGGGACACCCCAGGTTTCTCTCATCCAGCTGTGCTGTTAGCTCAGGTCTGGCTGTGCATCAAGGGCTCTGGGCTGCCACCCCCTTCCTGTTCTGTGGGTGCTCTGTCCTTCTCTCGTCCCGCCTGGCCTCTGGTCCCTCTCGCCCTGAAGGGCTGGGCTCTCGCCCTGTCCCTGTTGCACCCGCACTGCCAGTTCTGCCTTTCCGGATTCTAGGTGCACCCGCGCCCGGCCTGTCTCACGTGACGGCTGTGCCCTGGGGGCCTCCCTGGCCTCCAGTGGCTTGGGTACGACCCCCTCTGGGTGCCCTGAGCTCAGGGCCTCTGCTTTCCTTCCAACTCTTTGTTGTAGTGATTATTCCTGTTTCGCCTGTTACCACCATTGCCTGGCACAGTGTCCCCGACAAGAAGGACTGTGATGTGTGCTTCTTGCACAGAACAGAAATGGCCCTTCATCTGTGCAAGGGGTTAACAGGTTGCATTTGCCCTAAATAAGGGCAGAGCGGATGCTGTAGCTGGGATGTGATGAAACGAAAGCCCAGTGTTTCCCAGGAAGTAAGCTCTGGCCTCCTCTGACTTCCAGTGGGGATGAACGTGTAGGGTGGGGGTGGGCAGGGGACTGTGCCCAGAGGAGCTGGGCGGGGTGATCAGGAGGGCTCCCCAGAAACCCAGGAAGGTGTGAGGTAGCGGTGTCCATGTGGAGGCCTGCAGGGAGCATCAGTTTTGACTGCCTGGGTGCACCCTGTCTTTGGGGACACTGTCTGTGTGTCCTTGGCGATGCTGACATCCTGCTGTGGACACACAGGGCGCTGCCATCTCTGCGCCCAGGGCTCCCTGTGCAGACACACCTGCCACCCTTCCTGCCTTCTCAGCCTCAGCCCTCGGTCCTGTGGGGGTTCACAAGGTCACGCTGTGCTGGGACTAGAGACTCGCCATCCATGTGATAGGTTAAATCAAGGCAGGAAAATTGAATTTCTTGGAGAAAGATTTCCTGGGACAAGTTGAGCACCCATCCAGAGGAAAGGTGAGACGCTTCTCCTGCTCAGCTGGCCTGTGTGTCCTAGGTGGGCGACCTCACTTCAGTGGTCACTAGAATAAAGGGGATTCACGGGAGAAGTTGTTTTTAAAAACTTTGCCAATGTCACACTTACCGGGGCCAGTCCCCCTAGGGAGGACGTGGGTGCTCTCCCCAAGTTCTAGCCAGATCCCCCAAGCCGATCGCCTGCTCTTTGAGGCTCTCCCAGGCCGGGCCATCTCGAGTGTGGGTGCTCACACTGACCCCACTATGGGGTCCCATAAAGCACTGATATGGGGCCGTAGGACCCAGGATGGTCACTGACCCCAGCGATTCCTCTAAACATCTCCCAGGCCCCAGTCCTGAGCTGTGGCGACCTGTCTCCTGGCCCCCGCTCCGAGGGCTCCACAAAGTGGGTCTGGTGTTCACACTAAAATGAGTTAAGTAATGGTGGCTTTTGTACCCTGGGGAAATGTGCGGCAGAGAGCATGGACACCGACTTAAAGCGCTCTCCCTGCTTTAGAAGTCACTGTGTGGATAAGTATTCAACCCCAAATGGGACTAACAATGCAGGCAGTGTGATGCGTCTTTGTGCGTAAAGTCCCAGGCAGGCTAGTGTGTGGGCAGGTGGGGAGGACGCTCCCCTCGGCTCTCTGCTGGTACCCCCTCTGTCTTATGGAAGATGGAGGTTTCAGCCCCACAGACAGTCCCCGTGGACTTTCAAGGCCTCGGCCATTAGCTGTTGTGAAGGGTTTAGTGACCTTCAGTCCAGAGATGGGGAGGGGATGTGCATGGAGACCAGCGCCTGATGAGGCCGTAGAGCTGGGGCCTCTTGTTGTCTGGCATTGGCTGTGGACCTCACTTGCCTCGTCGCTTCGTGGGAACCAGATGTTGGAGTTATTTTGTATTGTTGACTTTGAGTTTGAGCAGATTATCTCTAATCACACACTTAGAAGTCCTATTTAATAGAGTCTATTAATATGCTGTCTATTTCTTGCTGCGCTCAGTTTTCAGGTTTTTCCAAATAAGGTTCAAACATTCTTGCCTTTTAAGGGAAGGAAACAAAGGTAGAGCTTCCTAATTATTTTCAATGATTATTTTCAAGAGTGTTCTGTGAGCACAGGATATCCTCTTAAATTTTCTGAAAAGAGTTCAAATTACTTTTCTTTCTTGTTCCTTTGAAAACCACCAAATTCCCAGCTGGCCAGTTCGGCGTCCCTGGAAGGGAAGGGACAGCTGAAGTTCACTGCGGGACGGTGGAGCCCTCATCACAACTGCACTCAGGTGGCCACGGCGAACGACACAGCCGTGCGTGGGTGGGACACGCGGAGCATGAGGTCAGTGACTGGTGCAGAGCTGTGGACACGCGAGCACCCCCTCCTTCTACCCCTGCTGCACCCCTGAGGGGCGTGGGTCTGAGTCAGACGTATCTGGGGGCCTGTGGCTGCGAAAGTCCTGACCTCACCCCCACGTGAGCGGGCATGGCCACGGCCGGGGTCACGCCCCTCCTCAGCTGGCCGGGACTGTCCCGTGTGCATATCCCGTCAGTGTGGTGGTTTATAATGAAAGTAAATCAGGCATTTGTGCACCTCACGAACGAGGTGGTGACCACTGGGTGTCAGTCTCCATGATCAGCAACTGCAAGTGGACAGTTGTGGTCCTCAGGTTAAGTTTGCAGGGTTCTCTGTGACCACGTATGTGCCTTCAAGATACACACCTCTCGGCAACTGCAGTTTGTCATTTAAGTCATTGTGTGCAACAGCCAGCTGCTCTAATGGAACAAACAAGAGCGATTTTTCTGTTCAGGTGTGGCTTTGATAGGCTGAGGAGTGATGGTGCACATATCCGTTGTCATGGCAACGGGAACCTGTGCGATCTTTTTTAAGATATAGTTTATCCCCTCAGCACACCATAATCTATTCCTAAGCTGCAAAGATGGATGTCACAGAGCTGCCTGTGCTGCCTTCAAGGGTGAGGGCACGACTTTAAGTTCAGTTCTTGGTCCCTCTGAACACTCAAGGGCTAATTAATAATCAGTTGTCACTTTGCCAGTGTGTGCATGTCTGTACCGAGGGTTCGCGGTTCCATGGCCGGATGCATGTCCTGACTGGAGTCCATCCTCCAGGTCCGTGGCCATCTTTCCTCTGTTTCCATTGTTCTGTGAAGGATGGGAGGAATTTCTGTATCTAAAGACAGGAAACTCCAAGACCCACATTACAGACCCCAAAACAAAGATAAGAGATGTGGGTTCAGGTGATGGCGTCCTGTCCAGACGCCTCATCCGGGTCACCTGGGTGCTGAGCAGCCCAGGGGAGCCACGGCTCCTTCTCCTTTTGCAAACAGCTCCGGTTTTTATTTACCCAGAGTGCTTATGTTTCTTCCGGAGTGCATTGTGCCTCTGTATCGAAATCACCACCCCCAGACCATGCAGTAAAGCCCTTATTCATCCCTGTGCACACTGACTGTCCACCCAGTGCCTTAGGACCCAGCCGGAGCTTTAATTCTATACATTTGTCTGTTTCACTTCGAAGACCTTAAGGTTTGGGGTTATCTTGTTTTAGGGAAAAATGTTAAGATACTGGAAAGATGCAGGATATAAAAACCAGCTCAAGATTTAAAAGTGGTTGAGAGCCAGAAAATCTAACGTGGGAGAAAGAGATGAGAAGGAGAGCGCTTACCTGCTTTGGAGAGCAGAGAAACAGTCCCTGGGCAGCGGTCCTGAGTTCCGTGGAGAGAGCCGCAGAATGCAGAAGCCCCCGGGATGCCATGCAGAGCACGGGGCAAGCGAGTGTGGGCGAGAGCCAGTCCAGCCCCGGGAGGAGACGCAGAGGGCGGCTCGCCGTCTGGGCTGCAGGCCCACCAGGGGCCTGTCTAGCGTGACCGGGACACAGGCCTCTTGCCTCCAGCCACTGTGCAGCATCTCCAATGGCTGCTCCTCTGTTTGGGGTTTGTGACGTCACAGGAGTCGTAACAGACAGGATACCTGATTTCGTACCCCGGAAGGGGCGATCTGGGGCAGTGGGCGGGCGTCTGTGTGCGTGTGCACTTGTGTGCACGTGCACCCTAAGCAGTGTGGGACTGATTGCGGCCCCACCTGCGTTGCTCGGGGCAACGACGTGGTGCCTGTGGCCTTGGCCTCCGGGTGGTGTGGGCGAGCAGGGTGTGGCCCGGCCCAGCCGTAGCACGTGCTGCCCTTCCTCGTTGCTGTGGCTTCTCCCTTTTCCTCCCTTTTTCCTGTCTCCCAGCACCAGCTCCTGGGCGTCCTACCCTGCCCGTCCTTTCCTTTTCGTCCTCACTACCTCCTGCAGACATCTGTCGGGTGTCTGTCCACACGTCTGTCTCTGCCTCCCAGGCGCAGCGGCTCTGGCTTGCTCTCATTCTCAGGATGCTGGATCACATTTCTGACAAACCAGCATTGCTTTCACAGTACGCGGAGGCTCAGACGCACCCCTGAGAACTGGCAACCTGCGTCAGTGTGAGAGGCATGGGGGCGGGTGCCAGGCTCCTGGGTGTCTGCGGCCACTCCTGGTGCCCGAGCCCAGCCCTGTTGAACAGATGCCAGCCCAGATGCCGGGGGGCTGCGAGGTCCCCAGGGCCGGGCTTCTGTGGGTTCCGGGGAGCTGGCTTGTCATGACCTCTTTGTTTTGGGTGCCCGGTCTCCTCCTCAGTCAGGTGTACTGCATAGAGAATGCCCACGGGCAGCTGGTGCGGGACCTGGACGTCAACCCCAACAAGCAGTACTACCTCGCCAGCTGCGGCGACGACTGCAAGGTGAAGTTCTGGGACACCCGCAACGTCACCGAGCCCGTGAGGACCCTCGAGGAGCACTCCCACTGGTAGTAGCTTCTCCGCCTGCTGGTTTGGGCGGGACGGGTCTAGCGCACTGATTACCGTACTGTTTGGAGTGGCACAGACCAGCTTGGTTTGTGCTGCTGTGAATCATTCGACCAGACCAGCTTCATTTTTCCTAAAGAAACACTAATTCCAAGTCTAAATGTTTGTGATTTATAACATAGAAAAAGAAGAAAAACATTAGATTCTGTTTTCTCTTAAAGTAGTGTCAATTCAAATATGCAAAAATACATGTGCACAGATGCTTCCCTGGCATTGTTTGCAGTGCAGGGAAGCTGGAAGCCGCCCAGGTGCCCTACAGCAGGGGATTAGTCAGGTCACTCCGTGGCCTCCATACAGTGGGGTCATGCTGCTGTGGGAGGGAAGGAGGTGTATGGACATGGACAATACCCAGGGTCAGGCCTTTTTCCTAAAATATTTGAATTTTTACCACATGGTGGGTGCTTTTTGCTAAGTAAGTGGAAGAGATCAAGTCATAGAACAGGGTGCATAGTATGAGCCAGTTTTTATTCAAGTAACTATGTGTGTCCATTGTGTGCACGTGTGTATGCACATGTGTATGTGCCCATATGTGTGCACACACATGTGTGCATATGTGTATGTGTGCACGTGTGCCTGTGTTCATGTGTCCTCTGCATGCATGTGCCTGTGTGTGCACATGCTCGTGTGTGTGCGTGCACATGTGTGTGCATTCAGAGGAGACATTTGGAAGAGTAAGAAGCCAGCTGCCCCCTGGTGCCCTCTCTCAGGTGGCAGGTAGCTGGCTTCCTGTGCTCCCCATCTCTGGGCTCTGTAAGTTACTTGTCAGAGGCAATGTTATCTCTGCGTCAGAAAGCCTTAAGAGCTGGAATGCTAGTGTTCAGTTTCGACAAGTACGGTCAGTAACTGTCCTTCATGCAGTCCGAGGAGAAAGGCCTGTCCTCTCTGGCCTTTGTGTGTGGGCTGTCCTGGCTTCTCTGCTGCCCAGGGCCTGCAGATGCCTCACACGGTGGGTCAGCGCTGCTTACCAAGCCCCCTGTAGGGTTGTGTATCGAAGGAAACGGCCTAGCGGCCCGACCCAGAGTGCTGTTCCTGGGCCGCGTGGCCTGTTCCTGGGCTGCCGCCCCGGGGCTTGGCTTCATGTCTCAGGTGATCTCTGGGCCGTGTTGCCTCTGGGGCAGCTTTTGGCCGCATCACCTTGGAAAGCCTGTAGGGGTTTGTTCTGGGTGCCCCTCCCTGTGGGCTGGGCTGCCCAGCCCTGGTCTCTGCTGGGGTCTCAGGAGGGCTTGGGGAGGTGCAAGTAGGCCAGCCGCCTACTGAAGACCTCCCGCCATCAGACCCCGTGCCATGGCATTGCCGCATGGCGGCCTCCACGCCGCCCACTGTCTACCCGGGGGCCGAGTGGCGTCAGGACCATCTCTCGCCCCCCAGGGTGTGGAACGTGCGCTACAACCACTCGCATGACCAGCTCATCCTCACCGGCAGCAGCGACAGCAGGGTCATCCTGTCCAACATGGTGTCCATCTCCTCGGAGCCCTTCGGCCACCTGGTGGACGACGACGACCTCAGTGACCAGGAGGAGCGCCACCCAGAGGAGAAGTGAGCACACTCCGTGGCCCGGAGCCCTTCCCGTGGCGGCTCTGGGCGCGCGCAGGCCGCAGGGCTGCAGCTCTGGAGCCATGAGTGCCTGAGGCGGGGGTTGGCGCTGCTCAGGGTCGGCCAACGCCCAAAATACGCATGTGTCCCGGACCTTTAGCTTGAACTTACTGAACGCCGGCCGTGGGGTTTCAAAGACGGCTGTGGCCCTTAAAGCTCAGCGGTAGTGGGAACTAACCCGCACTGACCCCACTCGTCGCCCTGTCAGGGGGTCCTGGTGTCTGTGCTCATGGACTTGGGACGTGCGGTGCGTGCTGCTCACTGGCCCTCACGGCTGGCGGCAGGGTGGGGACTTGGGACCAGCTCCTGCCCCAGACCTGGGGCTGTTCCCCCGCCCTCTGTCCCCCTGAGACCCTTACAGGATGCGGTAAACCCCGATGCGCATTTTACAATGCCACCATCTCACCTGTGTATTTTCAAAACCACTTTGCCGCGGTGTTTCCCAGTCCTCACCGCATTTGCCCGGGCGCTCTCTCTCCACCGAGAGGCCCACGCCCCCGCGGCCCGCAGGGATTCGGGACTCCCACGGGCCACACTCCTGGCCAGGGCAGGGCAGGGCACCCTGGCTTCTCTGTGCAGGAGAAAGATGCCAGGAGCGACCCGTCTCTTGTCAGCAATGTGGGTGTTAAAAGGAGATGCCTCTTGTTTTTTGGCGATTCATTCCCGAGTGTGGCAGCTGCCTCCTGTGTTGTGAGTGAGCTCGAGTCAGATGCTGCCACAGAGTCACGCCCCCTGGATTCCAGCAGAAGGAGGCTGGGACGTAAAGCCCTGTGGGGTTGAATGGTTTGGGCCCGAAAGTACGATAGGGGTTTGCGGTTCTGCTTTGAGGATCTTCACGCTGTTCTGTTGTCTGACTCCCACCTGCTGGAGCTTAGCCTGAAATTCCTCTGTGGGAGGGTCTCTGCATTCGAGCCTTGGCGCAGCGCTCATCTGCTCTCCATCTCCTGACAGCTGTTTTCCTGTCCCGGTGCTCAGGGACACTCTGGGGGCACCACTGTGCTGGGTTCCCTCAGTGCTCACCATTCTCAGCCATTTGTGCTCTTTGCTGTCCCCTCTGCTCACAGCCGAGCAGGGAGTGTGCCGGCCGGCCTGTGTCGGTGCCGTGTGATCGTGGCTGCACGGTCTCCATGCTGGCGGCTCAGAGGAGCAGCAGGAAAGAGGGTGCGTGGTGGCAGGCAGACTCCAGGGGCGCTGACGCCCACGCTGGTGGCCCATGAGCTCCTGCAGCCCTGCTTCCGTGGCTTGAGCACGACTTACTAGATCCAGGAGAGGTTTTTACCTGTTGTTTGTAATAGCACTGGCTGACCCCCGGCAGGGGTGCTTCCCAGGAAGGCCAGGCTGGGTGACACGTTAGTGCCGATGGGGGCATGCAGGGTGGGGCCCTGGGGAGAGTCCAGGGGCAGTGAGAGCCACTGTGTGAACCGGGTAGACATTTCTTGGTGAAATGGGAAGACAGTGCCAGTCCATTAGCTCAGACAGGAAGGCCTGTGCTCCTCAGTTCACATGGAGCCACGTGGGGGAGCGTCGTCCAGTCTGGTTCCGAGGGAGGGAAAGCCCTAGTTCAAGCCTAAAAGGAGGCAGCATGGGAGGACCCTAAATGAGGGCACCATGGAGCCCAGGGCCGGGACCAGCAGGGGCCTTCCTGCCTGGCTCGGTGGGGCATCCCGCTTTCAGCAGCTCGATACTGCCCGGCCCAGCCCTCCCCTCAGGGGCTTCCCTGGATATCCCCAGGGTCCTTTTTGCCCTGATGTTCCTCGTTGCGTGGCCCGGTCCCTGTCCCCTGAACCAAGGACGCCCTCCTTGGTCCCCCCAGGCGCCCCCTGTCACGAAGCTGAAGAAGCATGGTGTTTCTGGGTACCAGCACGGCTCTCCATGAGCCCCTGCACAGCCCCCTTTGCGGCTGTGGCACCGTGCATGTGCCCCTGCGGGGCAGCCCCACCGCCCCCCGCAGGCCGTGGTGACTCCCTCGCTGCACACATGTGAAGACCAAGCGGGCTCTCTGCCGCCGGCCCGTGCAGGCCCCCCCGCCTCGCTCATGCGTGTCTCTGGTGCCTTGCAGGAGCCAGGAGCCCCTGCAGGACAGCGTCATTGCCACCTATGAGGAGCACGAGGACAGCGTCTATGCTGTGGACTGGTCCTCGGCCGACCCCTGGCTGTTTGCCTCCCTGAGTTACGACGGGAGGCTCGTCATCAACCGGGTGCCCAGGGCGCTGAAGTACCACATCCTGCTCTAGCCCCGCGCTGATTCGCCCTTGGCTGGCTCTGCAGAGCGGCTCTTTGGAGGCAGTGCTTTCCCACCGCAGACGCCCCTCTGGGAACTGGCACTGCCGTCCTCTAGTGGGCGTGTTTGTAAGTGCCGCCTGAGCTCCTGCCCGTGGCGCCTCGCTGGGAAGGGCACTGTCCTCCAGACCGTGCGGGGCTGTGGCCCCTGGCTTCGGGAATTGGCGTCTGCCCAGTCACTGCCTGCTTTCTCGTACTCTTTTATGGATGTTGAGAGATTCAGTTTTAAAAAATCATTCTGTTCCTTAATACGAATTCATCTTTCTCTTGAGATTAAAAATAAAATGACATGAGAAGACCCTGCTGTACAGGTTCCTGGCTCCTTCTTTTAGGAACTCAGGCCCCATATGGCCCTGTCATCTCTCTGACCTCTGTTTCTCTGTCCTGGCCCAGGACAAGGTGTGTGGGCAGGGGACCCTCCACACTGCTGCAGCCTAGCCTGGCCCACCCGCACTCGGGCTGGGACGTCTGGGTGGGTGAGTCTGGGGTCCCTGGCCGAGTTAGCAGTGCCGCCCGGCATCGCCCGGCCTTGGGCCCCACTCACATTCTGCTGACAGCACTGGGACGCAGCGCTTTGTCCCCCGGGGGTCACGTCTGTGCTTCTGGGTCACCAGCACACCTCCTCATAGGAGTCCCACGCGGTGGTGACCCCACTCCCTGGTGATCCTAAACCTCCAGTCATGTGACTCTCCTAGGGTCTGAGGTCTGTTCCAGGTCCGCCCCAGGCAGCGAGCCCCGGCCCCGGCCCCAAGGGCCTCCACCCGCCCAGGCAGCCCTGCAGGAGCCGCCCTCCACCCAGGCCCCTCAGTGTCCTCGTCTGTAGGGACAGGGAAGCAGTCGAGTTGCTCATGTCCCCACTCGGCTCTCAGGCTGGGCTCTTCTTTCAGTCTGAAAAGTGGACTCATTCTTAAAGCCAAGGCCGTCTGTTGGCCCTGAATGTCTGTGTTGTTTTCTAAAGGCAGTGGCGGGGCACGGGGGAGGGGTGGACAGGTGGGAACATGGGAGTGAGGTGGGCAGATTAGCACGGGGAGGGCAGCTGGGCTCGGGGTCAGGCCCTTCAGCCTTCTGTCTGCAGGTAGGCGCTGCCTGCGTGAGGGGTCAGGCAGCCCGGGGACAGCCGCCCCTCAGGTGTGTGGCCAGGAGGCCGTGTGCCCAGCCGTGGGTTGGGGGGGTGCCTGCCCGGGCACTACGCTAGATGCTGCTGGTGAGCAAGGCCAGGGTCTGGGTGCCAGGGGTGCAGAGCAGGGCCCAGGAGGAGCTCTGGGGGGTTAGAAAGCACACGAGAAAGTCGGGGAGCAGCTCATCAGGGGAGATCATCAAGCATCGCCCAGTCCTGCTCCTGACATCAGCTTTGGCCCGGCGTGCGCCCCAGGGTGACCTCTGAGGCCTCCTGGCAACCTGGTCCCCACTTCATAGTGTGACCCTGACCAGCCACACTCCTTGCTGGGGATGCTTAGCCATGGCCTCTGTGCCCCTCCTACAGGACAGCGCAGCCCTCCTGTCCTCTCTCCTCCAGCTGGGGCCCGGGTTCCGACTCCAGCACCCCGGGCCTCCTTTGTTTATGTGGCGGCAGCGAGGACGTGACCTGGGGTCAGAGACTGTGGCTCACGGCACGGTGCACATAGTGCAGGGGCCTCCCCAGTGGGCCTCCCCAGACACACACTGGCCCTGGGCCTGAAGACAGCCTCCCCGCAGGCCACCCCACTCCCCAGGGGTGACAGTGCTCACAATATCCGTGTGACTGTATGGTGGGCTCTGCTGAGGCTGCTTCCTGGCTGGGAGGCGGCACCCTCTTCTGTGTCCTCACAGGACAGGGGAGGCCGGCTCTCTGGGGCCCCACCCACAAGGGCACTGATCCCTCTCCAGGGCTCCTCCCCACCTCCTCGCCTCCCAAAGGCCCCCCTCCTAACCACCACCTGGGGAGGCCTCGCACGCGGGGGTGGTGAGAGGACACAGTTCATGCACAGCACCCAGGAAGGGTGACATTTGGAGAAGAGGACTGAGAGCCGAAGCCTAAGCAATACCGAATCCTGAACCCCGTTTCCTCAAAAAGAGCTCCTCTGACCGGAATTGCCCAAAAAGCTGGGATTCTGATTCGGCAGCTCTTTGATGGAGGCTGGAATCTGCCTTTTAAACAAGCCCGGATGTTGCTTAGAAGATTCCCAGCTCCTCATCGGGAAATAGAATCCTGACCCCCCATTGCAGCTCACACGGTTTGCAGGGTCGAGAGGAGGAAACTCCCAGTGACAGGTTATAGCTACAGGTGGGGGCGCCCCTCTCGGGCCAGAGCAGGGCGGGACTCAGGGCCGCCCCAAACTCCTGGTTCTGGGTGGGGCGCGTGGGCAGGTGTGTGAGGAGGCGGGGAGTCGGACAGCCTGACCGGCCAATACCACCGTGCCCGCCCAGGGGCTGCCTGTGATTGTGAAGATCCGTTGTCACCTGTCACGTTGTGTCATCACCTGGGAGGGCCTTGAGGGATGGGCACTGCTGGTCCATGGCTTCTCCTCGGGAGAGCTGGCAGGACACGCAGGCAGACAGGCATTGGCTAGCAGAGCCCCTCAGATGTGGGCAGCACGGGGCTGAGGCAGAGCCTGGGCTCCCCTGGGGTTCACCATGGGCCTGCAGCTGACCTGGCCTTCCCCGTGTGCGGGGGGCCTGCCACCAGCACACTGATGGAAGACGGGGCACAGCAGCCCCTCCTGGCAGAGCCTGGTGAGGGACAGGCCCTTCACGGAGAACCCCGCACTTCTTGGTCCGTCAGCCAGGTTCCCCGGGCCGGGGCAGGGTCTGCTTCCCGGTTGTTGGAACGGTGCATGCTGGCCCCTCCCTCGTTCAGTGCCTCTGGACACAAGATGGTTTCCATGCAGCTCGTTTTGTGGATGGCAGAAGTGGGTATCAGCCCCCGCTCACCCCCGCAGGAGGGGAGGGCTTGCTGCGAGCGGGTCGGCGGGGTCTGGCGTGGGACTGCTTCGCTGCTTGGCTCAGAGCATGACCAGGGCACGTCCGCAGCTCGTGGCCATCGGCTGTTGTTGAAAGTTTTCAAGGCCAGTCACCTGGAAAGCAGACGTGTTCCAGTTACCCGCTCCCTGGAACATACCCACCCCAAACCCAGTGGTAAGGTGACAGCCGATGGGTTCTGCTCCGGGACAGAAATTTGGGTGGTAAGGGCAGGGAGCTGCTTATTCCTTCCAAGGCTGCCTTCAGTTGCACTGTCCGCAGGGCACCCACAGGGCCCTTGTGTGCCTGGCTTCCCCTGGTCGCTCAGGGCCCTACGAGGGGGTGTTCTGGCCTTGGTGCCAGAATGTCAGTCCTCATGGCCACTCGGCTGAAGCTGACCGAGCCCTGGTCAAGCAGGCTGTGCCCTAAGGCCTGTGGCCCAGCCCTTGAGGCTTCCTGGGCCGTGCCTCTGGGGCCCTGAGCCCTGCCCAGAGCCACATGCCCGCCTGTGTTGCCAGTGCTGGTGCCAGCGGCTGAGTGTCCTACAGCCCCAGGTCTGCTGTGCTGAAACTGCCCGTGTTTTCTAGCTATGAGCTCACTGCAGACAGGATTTCCTCCACAAAAGAACAGGGACCGGCCTGACTGAAACCCCAGTGCCGCATCACTTCTGATTTGAGGGCTAGACCACTGTTGGGCGAGTAGGGCCGAGGGAAGTTCTGCAGGCATTTGGAAGCAAATGCCCACACCCCCAGGCCAGGAACTCCTCGGTGTCGGCTTCACCAAGCATCCCGGGAGGCTCTGAGGGGAAAGGTGGGCTCATCCTCCTTGGCGGAGGCCTGGAAACTGGCTGGGCCCGTGTGCACCCTGCTTTGGAAGCAGAGAGGCTCCAGGAAAGGAGGCCACTTCTGCAGAGACGTCACGAGGAGGCCCCGTGCTGGGAGGGGCGCGAGGACCCCGGCTGTGGGAGCAGCCTGCGCAGGCTGCGTGGAGCTGGGTGCCTGGGGCCCGGCCCGAGCCCGCAGCTGCCCACCGCTCCTCCTGTCGCTGTCTCGGCTCCCCGGGGACAGGGTCCTGCCCAGCGCTGCAAAGCCCGGCAAGTGGGGCAGAGGGGCCACCTGCCAGGAGCCCGTGTCTCCTCAAAGGACAAAGGGACAGGTGAGAACACGGAGCGGCCTGTGAGGTGCTTGGTGAGCAGTGGGCCGTGGGACCGGTGGGCGTGCCACAGAACCAGCCACGAGGCTAAAATGCTGATTAATTGAAAAGTTGAAGCTATTAAAGCAGTTTTGGGTTCACAGAAAAGTTGAGCGGATGATACAGTTCCCAAATGCCCACCTCAGACAAATGTACCCTGTTTTTGCCATTGCCTGTTGGCATGGTTACAGTTTGTCACAGTTGGTGAGCCAGGATGGCACTGTATTGTTGACTGAAGGCTGTAGTCCATCCACATCAGGGGTCGCTGTGGGCGTGGGTGTGGGCAGATGTGTAACGACACACCCACTGATGGAGCGTCACACCGAGGGTCTCACCACCATGCTCTGCCTGGCCACCCCGCCCTCCTTCGCTGAGAAGACCCCTGGTCTTTTCATTGTGTATTTGGCCTTTCCTACAGGGTCGTGCAGGGGCATCCTAGGTAGGCAGCTTTTTCACATTGGCTTCTTCCAGCCAGCAATGTGCCTTCAGGTTTCCCCAGGCCTCTTCACGGCTTCATGGCTCATTTCTTTTTAGTGCTGCGTAATATTCCACTGTCTGAGTGGCCCTGTTCACATACCCATCACCTACTGAGGGGCCGTCTGGGCTGCTTCCAGGCCTTGGAATCGTGACTGAAGCTGCCGTGAGCATCTGTGGCAGGTCTGTGTGTGGACATAGGTTTTCAGTTCCTTGGGGTAAATGCAGTGTTGTGTGGGCGCCTGGCTGGTGAGTGCGTCCCGCAGGGCCCCATGCCCAGGGAGCCCAGCCTCTTCCTGCCGCTGACTGCCCTGCAGCCCCTGTGGCCAGACGCCATCACCTCCATCCTCTATCTTGTCTCCTGCTCAGAACAGTTGCAGAAATGTACATCTGACCATGCACGGCCCCGCAGCCCCACCATCAAACTCTTTGCAGGTTATCAAGCCCCTTACCTGAGGTGGCCCTGGATGGACATTGGTCAAGTGTGGGGAGGGCCTTGGGGTGGCCCTGGGGTGGGCACTGAGGCTGGGGTGTCTGTACTTTGCTGGAAGAGAGGGGGGCTCCTGAGGGACTGGAGTGTCAGCATGGACATCGCCACATCTGAGTCATGACTTTGTGCTGCTCAGGGTCTTCCTGCTGCACTGGGGGGGCTTGTCCCTGGGCCGAGTGGGGGGTAGGTGCCTCTCTGCAGGGTTGGGGGG